AACATTTCAACCAAGTTTTCGTACAAGAAAAATGATAATAATCTCAGAGTTGATCTAAGCCTTCTCCCCTTTTGAAAGATGAAGTGACTGAGCCCCGTTTGGTGGTGGCATGATTAGCCCAAGGTCATGCACAGATAATGGCAGAATGTGAGTCAGAACCTAAATCTCAAAAATGCTGAGTAATTACGAAAGAATTAACAGTTGTCCACTTTTGCACTGTGCCAAGCACAATTCTAAATGTTTTGTATAAAATAAGTAATCATAAAAAATTCTTTCAAGTAGGAGTGATTATCCCCATTTCACAAATGCTGAAACTCATGTTCAGAGGGGTAGAATTGCCTGACCAGAGTTACTTTGCTTATAAGCAGAGGTGTCAGGGTAAAAACACAAAGCCCTTAGATCCAACTGCAGAGTTAAATAATACCAGTGGTGTGCTAGTAAATTTTAGACAATAGAATCCCTAGGTTAAAAGCTCTCATTGTGATGTATGTCACTTTCTATGGTATAAAGACCTCCTCCATGGCTAATTTCAAGTGACCCACACGACATCCCTGAATGGAGACCTGAGAAGCAAGGCATGTCTTCCACTTTCATTAACCAGTATGAAGCAGCTCCAGCACAGTGCTGGATATGCCATGCAGTCCTGAACCTGTAACTCAAGAAGAAGAGCTAAAATGTTCTTGGGGAACAGCTAGAAACTGCACTAAGTGAGGACATGTGTCAGAACCAAGGCCCTTCAGTCTGAAACTAAGATAAATAACTGTTGCTTCTTTAAAACCAACAGCATTGCCAGGTGCGGTGGCTCACTCCTGTAATCTCAGCACTTTTGAAGGCAGAGGTGGGCAGATCACAAGGTCTGGAGTTCAAGACCAGCCTGACCAACATGCTAAAAACCCATCTCTACTAAAAATACAAAAATTAGCCAGGCGTGGTGGTGTGTGTCTACAGTCCCAGCTACTCAGGAGGCTGAGGCAGGAGAATCACTAGAACCCAGGAGGCGGAGGTTGCAGTGAGCTGAACCGCACTCCAGCCTGGGCAACAGAGCAAGACTCCATCTCAAAAAAAAAAAAAAAAAGAAGAAAGATCAACAGCATTGTGGCTAAGAGGAGCACAGGCATGATCAATGATCAATAAATCCCCAAATACTGCCTGGGCATGGAGCCAGAACAAGTAATGGGAGCAGTGACATCATATAAGACCTTCAGCTTATGACACTCCAACTCTAAATCCTGTTATGAATCCCAAACGCCTATGAATTCCACAAATACTGGGACCAACTGCCAAAAGAAGCTGAAATATTGCCAGCCTATTAGATTCATGTCCAGCCTCACCTTCCCGGGATGAACCTCTCGGGTTGCTGCAGGCAAAGGACTTCTGGGCCCTGTGGCCTGCTAGTGGGACCTGACCAGTCCCAGCCCTGCTCTTGCTCACCAAAAGGTGAAATACTCTTTGTTAAATTATCACACGGCAGAGTTTGATGACAGTCGCAAACTTTGAGGATGAGCAAAAGAAAAAGAGTGATTCATTATGGGACATAGCTATAAATCTAAAGTATTTATCAATGACAATGAAAGAATCCCTGGAACCCAGGCAATTAAAGAAACAGTAACACATATGGCATTTACCATGAGCCAGGCACTTTTCTAATCACTTAAGTATTAACACATTTAATCATCATAACAACTCTGTGGAGAGGATGCCATTTCACAGAGGGGGTTCCTATTGAACAATAAGTAAACTGAGGCACAGGACACATAAGTAACTTGCTCAGTACCACATCACTGCTAAGTGGCAGAGCTGAGATTCGTCCTCAGGCAGTCTGAGTCCGTAACCTGCAATTGCACCCTTAATAAATGTATCTATTTATTAAGATGGGGAGCTACCAGATTTATCTACCAAAACTTTGTGGTTTCTTTTAGAAAATATTAATTAGATATCTGTTTAAATGTTTTCTGTGTTATGTTAGAAAGAATAACAAAGAACACCTAAGTTAGGTCACCCCAGGACTTCAGGGCCCAAAGGAGGACTGCTCAGCGTGGCAGCAAAGTGTCGGCATTAGCGATCACCCACAATTAGCATGGAACAGCATCAGCAGAGTGTGTGTAACATGATCAACTAGTCAGACAGCCAAAGTGGAAAACCAAGTATTTCCAAGTCACCTTTGATCTCCTAGGAGAGGAGATCTCACCATGGCCTCCTACGGATGGTGAAATATTGATAAAGAATGCATACGTTTTTAATAGAGCTAAAGACTGTGATAAGGAGTCCCGAGTTTGAACAACCTTGGAAGAAGCCACCGAGGGGCCTATGACTCAACCAAGAACCTATGTAACCCACATCCTCTAATCTTAGCAATTTGGAGAAGGTATCCTTTCTCTTTTGGATCTCAAAGATGACTGCACCTGTTTGGAAGGTGTCAAAGTGACGTCAACCCTAAGAAAATATTGAAAGAAGTAAAACAATGGCCTCAGGAAGGTTTTTAAAAAAAACAAGAACAGAAACAATGACAAAATAAATTAAAACCCATGATATTTAATATTTTAGAATAGGTTTAAGTGTATTATTAAATCTTGTCATTATGTAACTTACTTTGCATATGTTGTCTGCTGTTTAAGGTGGATGTCTCAAGTGGCCAAAAGCAATTAGCCGTACTAATTTTGTATTGGAATTTAAATAGCTTCAGGGAATTTAATCAATCAAATTGATAATCATTATTATCAAATTGATAATCACTATTGATAATGATCAAGAAAAACCTAGTTTTCAAAGTCTTGCTTATTAGATAGACACAGCCAACACTGCCTCGCCAGCTCTCCCCACCCCACCCTCAGGGCATTCCCGTTTCCTGACAGGCCACTGAGAATTCTTCATCTGAGGGCTTCCTGTGACCACCCGAGTCTAACTGGCTCTACCGAGGGGAGGCCAGAACTGCCATAAACTCCCTGAGCGGGCCTTGGCCAATGACTGACGGGAGTTAGTGGATAAATGCCCCAGGTTTTTCTGGCCTTTCAGTAAGGAAAACTCAGGGCCATTTCCACCCTGTCTCCCAGAGATCCCCCGAACGAGCGAGCCTCAGCTGTCCCCAGGGCAACCTCCTTGATATGACACCGCTACGGGCTTTCTTCCCTTCCCTGTCTCATTTCCCCATTCCCCTAGTGGGGCTTCCTGGGAGCAACCCAAACTAAAGTAAGAGATGAGTTTAATTAACAAACCATAGCTATTTCTCAGACTACTCCCCATGTGGCATGTGCCCTTGGACATTTAAGAGTCTCCCAGTAGGATGGCTTGCTCTAGCAGCACAGCCAGAGGTGGGGGTAGGGACGCCATCTTGGGGGACCTTCTGCCTCTGCTGTCAGCATCTCTTTCCTCTCTCCTGTGACTGCTCTCTGGACACATGAACATCCCCCTGGGGCACTCATTTTCTGACTCTTACTGGGACAGTGTGCTTCCTCCCACTGGGAGCTGCAATTTCGGAAGGAAATCTTAGAAACAGAAATACTCATTCACAAGGCTGGCGCCAAGCCCAGTGACTGTGGAGGGGATGACAGGAGTGGAAATGGGGAAAATACTCATTTACTCAGCCTCAAGCGACAGAGATTCTTGGGCCTTGAATCTGGTACCAGGCCCCTGTGGCCACGGGGGACTTCTGGTTATGGCCGCGTTAAGGCAACCCCTCAAATACAGAGTAAATGAAGGCCTAGCTCACTACCCCCTCAAACATGGTGGTTCAGAGCTCCGGCTTTGGATCCGGGCTTGCCCAACTCTACTGCAACCTGGGGCAGATTTCCTAATGTCCCTGAACCTCAGTTTCCCCATCTATAAAAGGGGGGAAATATCATCTAACTCAGAGGGCATCCCTTTTAATAAAGAGAGAACAATAATAATACGTTTTAAATTATTGTGTGCTTAGTACATGCCAGGCACCTCCTATACATTCTCATTTCACTGCCACCCACACATAGCACAGTTATGATCCCTCCTTTATAATTATAAGAAACTTCTTCCAAATCACCCAGCTGAAAAGAAGCAGATCCAGGGTTCACACTTGGGCAGGCTGGATTCCACTCTTAACTTCTGTGTTACACAGAACATATCCAAAGTAACTATCAGTGCCCAACACACACCAGGGCTTAATCAAAGTCGTCTCTTCCCTTTCTTCTTATTTCATCATCGTCTGCTGGGCTGTCTCACTGGGGAAGGACTGTGAGGAGGAACACAGACAAGGACAGGTTCTTGGCAAACCAGCTTTTCACGAAGTCTCAAAAAGCAAAGGCTCAATGCCAAGCTCTTAATAAAGAGCCTTTACAGCAAATAGATTTTGGCTTCTCCCTCTATTAATACCTAACCTTGTAAGATTCTACCAACCTCATAATTTTCTTCTCTGGAACCTGTACAAAATCCCCAAATGACTTTCAAAAAGCCAGAAAGCCAAGATCACTGGGCATCTGAAAGTTTCAGGTAAAATTAAGTCTCTTCTAAAACATCTTCACTCGCTGTGCTAGAGGAGCACTGGATTAGGAGTCTTTCAGCCTGGCTCCGGCATTTATTAAGCTGGGTGACCATGACCACCTGTCTTCTCTGTGCCTCTGCTTTCTCATTTAGTAATACAGAGATAATAATCTTTGTCTTGCCTTTCTTGAAGTTGCAGAGAGAATCATGTGAGGAATGTATATGAACATATCTCACGAATTATAAAGCACTGCACGAATGTGAGGAATTATTAGTGCTAATCCACAGCTTATCAGGCTTGCTAGGATGATTCCTGAATAAGAAATACTAGAGCCAAAAAGCAGAAGTCAGCAGCAACTGGAATGAGCGGAGTCCAATGGTAAAGGAAAAGCAGCTGCCAGAACCTCATTTTCAAGGCTGGCAGTTAACCCTCCATCAATTTTATCAGGCCGGAAAATAGCCATATTTTTAATTAAGTGTTGGTGGTAGGCTTAGTAACATAAAATTTAATGGTAGAGAAGACATCAGCTTAAAGAAACACAGCTTCTTACCTCTCCTTCTAGGAAAGATATCTTTTCTAAGAGCTGCAGTATTAAGAGCTGCTTCTGTTGCAACTTTTTCTTTAATGATTCAATCTAGAAAGAAAGGGATAGAAAATTATTAATCAAAAATGTACAATTGTATAAGTACAAGTTTATCAATCGGAATACATGCCTTTGGTTTTTATTTGTTTTTATTTTTATTTCCATTTTTCCTCATTTCCAATGGGTTGGATGGTTTTCACGGAAACAGCCTGCATACTGAATCTGTGCTTTGTGGAGCAGTATTAACATGAGACACTCCATGAGAGGGGGATTCCGTAAACAGGCGAGCTTGGGACAGCAGACATGATTTTGGAGTCACAGCTCATTAGCTTTGATTAACTCAACATTTCCACACTGATTTTGCTGTGTAACCCTTTAAAACATCCAGTAGATCTTCCAGAGAACATGCCCTGGGAAATACAGACACATCTCTCCAAAAAATGATTATTCAGCTTGAATTGAATGAGGCAGCCTGCATTTCTAACATTTGGCTGTGTTATTCATTCAATACATTCATATTTGTTCAACTGAGCATCAAAAGTTGGTTAGAAAAAAGGATCACTAGAAGTCTCATTAAAAGTGTTGAAATTCAGAGGATTGAAGACTCACGTGGCCTGGAGTAAGCAGGAAAGGCTTCCTAAACAGACTCATCGTTGCTTATATAATATATTCTATCTTAGACTACTCTCTGTTTTTCAGTCATACATCATGTCTCCCCAGACAAACCGTAGCTTCCCTGAAAGCAGGAATCAGAGTACTCTATACCAGCCCATGTTATGCATAACAGTGGGAACAGTATGTAGGTTCATTAATAACACATTAACTTTCCAAAAGTCCTGTATATTAAATGTGTGTGCTCCCAAAAGTATTTTAAAAAATCAGTCTCAGGCCAAGCACAATAGTTCACTCCTAGGATCCCAGCATTTTGGGAGGCCAAGGGAGGAGGATTGCTTGAGTTTAGGAGTTCAAGACCAGCCTGAGCAACATAGTGAGACCCTATCTCCACAAAAAATCAAAAAATTAGCTGGGTGTGGTGGCGTGTTCCTGTAGTCCCAACTAGTTGGGAGGCTGAGGTGGGAGGACTGCTTGAGCCCAAGAGGTCAAGGTGGTAGTCAGCTGCGACGGTGCTACTGTATTCCAGCCTGGTGACAAAGTGAGACCATCTCAAAACAAAACAAAATCAATTTTAAAATCTCTCTCAGGGCAAACTGACACCATTCCTATGGAAATGAATCTAGCAGTATCTAGGAAAAGCACATATGCATTTACCCTTTGACTCAGCAATTCCATTTTTAGGAAAAGATTCCAAAGACACATTGGCCAAAATATGAAATGATATAAAAAAAGAATTTTTGTTATTTTAGAAAACACAAAACAGAACTCCATCAATAAGTGACTGGTTATACAAACCATGGTATGACAGAGGTCTGTATAATCTTCCAAAAAATGCAAAAGATCTCGAACACTCTGATAAAGCATATTGTAAGGTAGACAGTATACTAGCTTTGATGTAAAACAGGTGGGGACACATGAATGCATATATACTTGCAAGGGAAAAACTGCAAAGAAAAAATAAACCCTAATTATTAATAAATAGTTTCCAATAGGGAAAGGGAAAAACTTAAGTGAATGAGATAGAATAACGTAAGTTATTACATAGGATTATGTAATAAACATAAGCCTCGTTATGTAGGTTTCACTTTGAAAGCATATTTTATAGATTCAAAAAATAAAATGAAACCAAAAAGAAAAAAGTAAGCCCTAAAATCTGAGAACAAACTGAATTGAAGAAACGATGTACATGAAATTGGCTAGAAGTATTAATCCAAGTGTTGTTAGAATACAGTAATTTGACTCTATATTCTTAGTAGAATTTTAAAGATAAACAGAGTTGCAAAGTGATCTCTCGTTCACTGGGAAGATTGTTAGTAGTAACACTGATGCTATCTTGAAACCGTTTGATACATATGGTAGTATCATCATGTTTGGAACCCAGATTTATACTGTAAGAGAAAGCAATACAAGTATGAAATCAAGGAAGTAAACAAAGTTTTGTTAAATTTGAAATGATATCAGTATGAATTCATAATTTTTATTTTCTTATGTAAAATATGTATCCCTACTCTACCTAATGAGAGAACTTGTAAACAATAAGAACATAATATGTCCAGACTGTGGTCTTTAAATAGCATTCCCCACTAAAAAAAAACACGGGACATCTTGGTGAAATGGCTCATTTCAGGGGACAAAAAATAAACTAGAAGAACCTGAGATAGCTTGTTATGCCTGAAAACAAGGACGTGAGGTGTTTCCCCTTAGGCCAAGGATAGGACATTCTGAACATCAAAAATAATGAGTATAAATGAGTAAAACACATGAAATATACAGATATTAAAGAACATGAGTATTACACCTCTTTAAAAAAAATACAGTAACAGCTCACTGGACTCCACTGGATGTAACAAAGGCATCAACTCCTTACTTGGAAAGCAGTTTGGGGAAAAAAATAAAGCATGTATCTTGGCTTCTTTGTTCAAAATGCATTTTGAGATTCTAAAAGGCCCTAGTGTATGACGAAAAGTTTTACTTGACAGAATGATTCCAGTTTATCAATGGTAAAGGAAAGACAGAATTAGAAAATCACAATTCTGCAATTTCTATGAATAATGTCTTCAAGTATCCATCATCGGTAGATTAAACAGTGATATAAAAGCTGAAGATAAAAAGTTCAGTCGTGTTTTGGGTTGTCACTACTTGAATCCATTATCAGCCTTGACATACACTCCAGAAGTGATATATAATGAAACACACAGCATCACCCATGACGTGTTCTTGCCTTTCCAAAAGTTCAACCTTAATCCAGTCAAGCTTCTAGAACTAATAAGGACACAAAAAGTTTAATCCAGAGTGTGAAATTTTTTGTTTGTTTGTTTGAGATGGAGTCTTGCTCTATTGTCCAGGCTGGAGTGCAGTGGCAGGATCTCGGCTCACTGCAACCTCTGCCTCCTGGATTCAAGTGATTCTCCTGTCTCAGCCTCCTGAGTAGCTGGGACTATAGGGGCGTGCCACCACACCCAGCTATTTTTTATATTTTTAGTAGAGACAGGGTTTCACCATATTGGCCAGGCTGGTCCTGATCTTCTGACCTCAGGTGATCCACCTGTCTTGGCCTCCCAAAATCGTATTACAGGCGTGAGATTACCAGCCCAGAATGTGAACATTTTAACAAGACAAATGACTCAGTTCTTGGGTAGGAATAAAAGTAGTCCAGGCAGATGGGGACAGTGATGTTCTAGATTAGGAGACTTTAGAAACATGACTAAATGTAAACACAATGTATGGCTGACTGGAACAAAGCATCAGAAAAAAAGACACTTTGGAAAATGTTATTGCAGATTGGTATTAAGTAAAAGCAAGGAATTACCATTAATTTTGTTAGGTGTGATGATGATGTTATAATTATGTAAGAAAAAGTCCGTATGTTCAGAGATGCATGGTGAAGTCTATAGGAAACACATGTAGAATGTCTGGGATTTGCTTTAAAATACTGCACAAGAGGGGAAAAAGAGAAAGGAGTAGATAAAGCAAGTATGGCCAAATCTTGCTATTTGCTGAACCTGGGTAATGCTGGGGCTCCATCAATTATTCTCTCTGTTCTACGTGCATTTGGCATTTTCATTATCAAACATTTTAAATTTCACATGGTGTCAAAAAAATGTAATCCTCTGACATGACAAGTAAACCATGCAAAATAGAACAGAAACACCCGTAAGAGAAAATGTCCAATGTTAATAAAAATTAAAGACATTATCAATTAAAAACAGTAATGGGTTACCCTTGACTACCTATTAAATTTACCCAAACTATTGAATGGAGAAGGGACTGCTGGCAGGGCTGGGGGGGGGCGCAGTGCTTCTCCAGTGTTGCAGGTGGCACTGTAAATTAGCATGACCCTTAAGGCAATTTTGCAATAAATATTAAGAGCCATAAAGCTGTTCATACCCTTTGATCCACTAATCCCACTCCTGGGAATTTATCCTAAGGATATAATTCAAACATAGGAAAAAGCTGTATATATAAAGATGTTCTTGCTCCCGTTATTTATAATAGAGGGAAAATGGAAATAACCTTAATGTCTAGCACTAAAGGAATAGGTAATAAATTATAAAATATCAATTTGATGGAGTATATTACACAAACAGTAAAAACAAATATACAGCAAAATGGAAAGTTTACAAAAAGCCTCAAGGGATAGAAAAACAAAAGTTTACAAGGACGAAAGTAAAAGCTGGGGGAGAAGTTAGAAAAGTGGAATACTTCCGGGGTTGTGGTAGGGTTAAAGTTTGTTACGTGTAAATTTCCTTCCATTTCTGTATGAATCATTTCCAAAAATTATTCTCATGGTGTGCATTTTTCATCCCTTTTTATAGTATTAAGATTTTTAAAGTTGACTTTTAATATCTTTAAATGAAAGGCAAAATGGAACTAAAAGATTCCAAGAAAGTCAAGGGTAGTATTTAATCAAATGATGTAAAAAGTGATTTCAAATAAATCGTTTCACTATCTCTGAAGAAATCAAAGTGGCTTTTGAGGCAAGGAAAGTAAGAGAGGTGGTTTAAAAACACCTTAATGAGCAGCTCATGTAAAATATTGAGAGGATCCTACTGGTCACTGTCCCCCAGGTTGCAGTTTAAAAATAAATAAATGAATGTCAAAGTCATCACCTAGACAGAGTGCTGTGGGGAGAAGGTCTCTGGAATTCTCATGAGAGCGCAGAGGGCTGATGTTAGCCAGGAGAGAAGCCTGGTTCTGGGGAGAAGGAGCTGGGCAGGAGAAGGATTTGAGGATGCTGCGGCTTCTAGCAAGAATCATGGTTTTCAACAATGGTGTGCCAAGAAGCAATTATGCTATTGGGCTAAATGAATGCTGTCTGTGCAGGTTTGCTTTTATCCTGGAACATTTCTTACAGAAGCAGCTTGTCTAGTACAGTCTGTGATCTGAGTTGACTTGTTCAGATAAGAGCAAAAAGGATGCTAAGGGTGGAAGAGTCA